AGACACGTTATCACGTTTCGCCGCATCAACGGAATTTGGAGTATTTTCAATTTCCCACGGTGCACAACAACGAGCGAGTGTTGATACGAGTGTGCGCGAATCTCGTAGACGAAGCCGCGGCCCGTAGCCGCCAATAAAGGACAACCATGCAGAATCGCATACTGCTTCCGGTGAAATCGGTCGTCGCGTGCACACGATGTAAACGAGAAGTCGCATCCACGATATTGTCCCATCAGATTGAAACGCTTGTCCAATTACAAAAATTCGAATTCGAGCCACGTATGCTTTCATTGCATTCATTGCTGTCTTTGCTTCTTGACGCGATGCAATTTGCAATCTGAAATTCTCGTTGTAGACGTGATCTAGACAAACGTACGCCGCACAGCGAATTAAGAATAAAAAGCGATTATCATGCCTGTAATGAATTTACAATATTTTATTATAAAGTCTGAATTCTGATTTGGATAACGAGTAATTTTATCAATAGATTCACATTATAAAAAGAATAAAATAAGATAAATCTTATTCTGTGATTATAATACATAATTTAATTAGTCTGTTATTAAACGTTTAGTGCATACCAATTTATGTACGATGCATAAGATTTTTGGCAGTAATTTTTTTCATTGGAATACATTTAAGTATAAATCCTACGGATCGTGCAATTGCTTCGCAAACTTTTATTAACAATGAAAGAGCATCGGCAACATTCGTAGCGGTATTCTCTTCCCCGCTCCCTTCCCATCAGATCGGCTCGATCAATCGATGAGTCCATCGACGATGAATCGAAATAATCAAGTACAGATGGATTTGCATACAACGCGAGAGTCGGGTATATCTCTGTAAGTTGCAGTGAAAGGATTCCTGATTGCGTACCCCATCCTTCTACCCGGCGAAGGGACGCGTCCCTACCTCTTTGATCGAACGTTGCCTCTGTTCTCTTTATCGAGATCGCATTAGCCGAACGAGGAAGAAAGAAAAAGAATTCCAATATCGCGCAAAAATTTGTCTCCGGACAACGTATAGTCCGCTCGAAACGTTAAGCCGGATTTTTATTTCTCGTTCGGTACTACAAACTCGGCGTGAAACAGTAATAAGTCAAACTAAAACGAGGTATATCCGCTCTTCATTCTGAAAGCTGGATTTGACTTTAATTTTGAGATTTAAACTAACGAATACAGCGTTGAGTTTTTATCAATGTTAATAGACGTGTAGAGCGTGTTAATCGATTCCAATTATTAGCAAAATTATATTAATTGTTTTTCTGTGTAAGATAAAATTAACGGTTTTTATCCTAATATGATTAAAAATAGATACAAAATATAGTCTAACAATCTTTCTCTTTTCTTTTAAATTAATAAATAATAAAAGTTTGAATTGCATGCAAAAGAGATAGATAATAAAGAGCTTTCTTCTTTAATTTCTTCTTTAATATAAAATAATAATATAAAAATGATAATATAAAAAATGAGTAATATAAATGTATAAAAATGTGATTGATTTTACATAATGTATTATACAGAAAAAGAGAGAGAAAACATTCATATAATATTTTTTAGATAAATATAAAGGCAACACATTAAATATTTCAAAATACACATCTGAACTTTTATAATTTGTATGAATTTTTTTCACGCCTTTTTGAGAATACTCGCAAAATTTTATGAAATAGCTCTTATTATGTTGGCTAACAAAATCTTTTTCACCGGTCAGGCCAGTAGCCGCTATCTCCGAGATTTATTTTAATACGTTCTCAGAATAGGAGATTCTTGTAGTCTCGGCACGAAGTTCAGTATAATTACAAAGCAGATAATAGACAAGGCACTCTGTCAAGAGTCGTATGCGTACACGAGATATTACGCGTTTTTAATCTGTAAACGAATGAGAATGAAAAGACGGCGAGAATAAAAGGCGTCGCATTTAGATTCGCTCAGTTTTATTTGTTGAAGTGATATATAAGTATAAAGAAGATCGCTTAAAGAGAAAGAGTGAAAGGCGTCGGGAATTATATAAAACGAATAAAGAATGAGTAAACACGTTCTCGGTATCAGAAAGGGAAACAGAAGGAACGTAATAGAATACTTTTTTATTAGATGAGATATATAAGCAACTTTTGACAGAAATGCATGGCAAAGAAGGAGCACTTTTTCCATGGCCGATGATTCCTTCGGGCGACCTGCTCGTAAATATTTGCTCTTGCGTTAGTACGCAAGGTGAAGGCAAATTCTGAACCAGGTCGTAATTATATTTGCATGATAGAGATTTGCATTCGTCTGGCGTGTTTAATAAAATTTAAAAAAATCAAGGAAGAAAGACGGGAGAAACTCTTTAGAGCAACCCACAAAGTTGTTGGTTAAAAGTTATATCGTATGTAAATGAACAAGAGAGCTATGCATGTGCGTAGTACATAAGCATTTCAACCAATGAGACATTCAGTGTAGGTCTGGATTGTTTTATAAAGTTTGCTTTGAGTATTACATAGCGGTAGAGATGCTTCCATGTTTCCATTATTCTAATACTTAAACCGTCGCTTTTCGACGACATTTCTATCGTAATATTTTATCATTTTATAAATTAAATTTTGCATCAACCTTTATCTCGCGAGTGTTTGTCTTTCCTTGAGAAGTTAACCGCGAGATATATCTTTTAATTAATTAAATGTCAAATATTTAGTTGGAGACGAATGCAAGCAAATAAAGTGAAGCGTGAGAGATAGCTGAATTAAAACTGAACGAGGCATCAAGATTTTTATTTAAGACGGCTTACGAAATTAAATGCTCGCACTTTTTATTTGAGATATCTCCCGTTTCTCCTTTTATGCTCAGTGATTTCGTAAATGAATTTTTGCGTCAAGAATACCAATTACGTACCGAGCTAACTACATTTCCAGAACGTTCCGGTTGGAAACAGTCCAATGCCGCTCGGCGAGGTCTGCCAAGTGCGTTAAAATCTATCGATCCACAAATTGCCGCGCGAATCCATTTAATCTTCGCCGTTGTAGCTAGAATGGAATAAAATAGACTAATAAGAAAGCGCTTTGCAGAGACCGTATTAGCACCAAAACTCCGAGATAATTCTGTGGCTGCGCCGATAAAGCTCGGCTTTCTTTTCCGTAATAATGAGCTCAGTTTGCTTTTCAAAATGCTGCTGTTAATAGCAAAAAATATATTTATTTATTTTAAAAAAGATACATATTTTGATCTTGAATTTTTTCAACCTTTATCCAAATCACTTTTTTTAAACTCAGTTATGAAAACTATCCTGAAATGAAATAGAAAATGAAATAAAAAAAGTCAAATTATTTTATTTCAATCGTTTTATAATATAATGCACTAACTGGATGCATTGTGAAAATCAGATTTACATTAACAATCGACGAGTATAAACGCAAACAAGACGCATATCGCGCAACGAGATGTTGCTGTCGTCAGCATTGCGTCCGCATCGCGAATTGCATTATCGTCGTGGCGCGATGCAACATTGACGACAAATACAATAAACACCGAGCCGTGTTGATGATAATGGTCAGATCACTTCGTATATTATTACGGCGAATTGAAGCGAACGGGCATTATACGCGAACGCGTCAGAAATTACGTCGCGCTTCGCGCGTGAACGGTTTTGTCGTCGTACGACGCGTCGCGGTTGCAAAAGCCGACTACCGGTGGCTCGGCAAAGCATCGAGCAAAATTGCATACGGTACGGGTAATAAATGAGATTTCAACCGGTTGAATGCGAATAAACGAAGCGCGCCACGACGATGGTGGACCTCCGCGAGGCGGAGGGAAAAATCGTCCAGAAAATTGACATTGCCGCCGGTCGTGCGCGCCGATCTGCGCCGCGGTGTCATTTTCAGCTTTCCCACGGTGTGGGCGAGGCGAACTTTCCAATTCAATTTCCAGATGGGTCGCACAAAGGCTTATTTATGAAACGTTCACCAAGAGTGGAAGCGAGCGCGAACGGTCCTTGTCGGGACACGCGCAAAATGAACGGAGAGGAGGAGAGCTTCTCTCCTCTGGCTTCGATAACGCGGCCGATGCTGGTCTCAGGGTCGCTGTTAGTAAAAGATATCAAAATAATTGAAAAAGTTTAAATAGACTTCAATGTTATTTACGGCGGGCTATCTAACCCATGCCGTTTTTGGTCCCTATGTCCCTTATTTTCGCACTAATCGTGCCAGACCGACTGAAAATTTTTGAATATCACTCAATGCAGTATTCGTCTATCCCTTAATTATTTTTATTTATCACCAAAAGCTTCTATACAATTCAGCTAGCATTACAAGAATTCACATAAAAACAATTAGAATTTTTTAATTTTAATTTTATATCGTGCAGTTAGATAAATCAATTATCGAAATTTTAATCGATATCCTGATTAGTTAATGTTTCGCTTCCAAGACAAGTGCAGCGTTTGCGCGACTATATGTTACAATGGCGATGAATGCCATAGTCATCGGCGCCATGTGTGTATTTGTGTACGTGTTCGCGATTCGCATACGTTTCACACAGGCATTTGGAATGGCCGTAGATATGTATTCTGCCTAATAGTAAAGGGGTTCCCTAATTGTTGCTGCAATGTTCATAGAATACGTGTGCTCGGTGGGCGGCGTTTGGCTCTGTGTACGTGCGCGATGTTAGCATCGTATACATTATCGTGCTATATATTCCTTGGGGCGAATATACGTGTTAATGGATCCTTGCACTCTGAATTAGGTCCATCTGCCAAATGGATGCGCAGACCGATGGCAAAGGAAGCCTCATTAACCGGATATTCGAAACGCATCGGTCATGTTGTTAACAATAACAACTGACACTTAGCATCATTTCTGAAACTAATTGAGTTTTGAATTTCTACCAAGTTATCAATGTAGTGAGCGACCGAAGATATTATCGAACGTACACTTTATGTTCTTATATAGTGATATATTTTATTAGTGATATATTTATACAATTATAAAACAGATACTTAATAGTTTTTTTGTTCTTATTTTATAATAGTTTTTTGTTTAGTCTTCTTTTACTTTTTATAATTTAATATCTCGTAATTCTATGAGTATGCAAATGAACATAATGGATCTCGGGATGCAATTTCGTATGTCTACAAAATCCATTTCACTTAACCACCAGTTTTATATTCACAGCGTTTCTGCCGAAAATTGCCCTCACTTTCTTCGAGTTTCTTGTTTCTCTACTTTTCGTATGAGTATGATTGTAAAATCCACATGAAAGTGAGGGATGAAAGCGGTTCACTTTCACGACTATTTCACATAGTTTGATATAATATTTACTTTGTAAAAGACATTTATGCAATGATAACTTGTTCTTTTAATTTACAAAACTTAATTATGCCGTTTTCATCTTATTTCTAATCCATTTACGAAGTGGACATCTATTTCCTATATCGTAATACGTATATACCTTCTTTGAAACCCATCCTATAATGATTAAAAGAACGCATAAAACTGAAAATGATGTTATCGTCAGGAATACGATAATGTCGAAATCGAATTGCTGATACCACGCGGTATCGACTCTATTGAAACGTAAATGAGGTGCGCCATTGTGACGCATTACGAACTCGATCCACCATATAATATTCTCTAAGCTATCATAAGGCTTGTCCTTTGTGAGAGCACGTAGCTCTAACATCTTATCTTTGTATCTGCAAATAGAGCACCAAATATATATGTCAGTTATTACATGTAAATAACACAATCATTATTTTCTATTTACGTGGAGACGATTATTATCATCATTTACATGCACGCGCTCGCACGCCTAAATAATCGACATCGTAATTACCCCTTATCATCGATGACTTCCAATATAGCGTCGTGCAATTCCGATGTCGTAAGCTGGACTATGTCTAGGTATCTTGCAACTCCCAGAGAAACCATTTTCATAACATGGCACACCTGATCGAAGAGAAATGGTATTCCTATGAGTGGGACGGCGTAATGAACCGCTTCTTCGGTACTCTGTAGTCCGCCTTGATAAATGAAGAGCTTGATGTTTGGATGAGCTATAAAAACATAAGAGAAGAAAAGAGATGATTAATAAGCTTGATATTAATGTTTAAAATGCCAGCTTGTCTATTTCAATTTACCCAGCACACCCTGCTGCGGAACCCATTTCGAGGTAAAAACATTTGAAGGAACATCGAAGTTATCATTCTCGAATTTCCACAATACTTTATACTTCAAGTTAGCAAAGGTATTTACAAATATCTCCAGAATTTTCGGCGGCAATAATTGACTTTTCCTGATTGATCCCAGACTAATATAAATAAAGCCATTTGTCGCTTCATCCAAGAATTTTTTTAAATCCTATAGAAAATGTTATAAAAAATATTTTTTTCGCATTATTCTTTATGCGTTCTTTATTGCTATTACATATAAAATATCATACTTTCGGTAATAATGGCGGTGTCTTTGCAATATGTATTCCGCTGAAATGGATAACATTAGGTATTTCGGGTCTCGCATATGCAAACGATGGTTCTTGATTGATCAAAATAAGACTCATATTCTTTGCGACATCGGTAATATACGGTATATCCTGTCCAAAATACTTTTCGGCTATCTTTTGTTGATTATATATGAAATCATTATACCATGAGTATATATCCCACCAAGTATTGATGAAATTCTCCAATCGCTTCCAAAATGATAGGTTTAATCCTGTATGATTTTTGAGCTCCCAATTCGAAGAATGCGATGATAGTACAGGACTGCCCAAATTAAAACGATGGTAATTTTGCAAACCCAAAGTCAGAATACCTGCGATTATAAAATTTATTGGGTAAATTGCGTACATTTTTATATAAGTCATAATAAAATTAAATAATTTTATTTAAATTTACCTATTAAAGGAGCATTAAATCTGTGCGCTAGCATGTAGGTCGCAGGAGTAAACATTTCCGTTATCACCGCATCAAATTTTGCATTAGTTCCTTTCGCGTAATATTTCATAAGATCAGGATGACTGAGAACATTATTCGCAATATCATGACCTAGCAACTGTGCCCTTATCTTCAATTCTGCTAATAGTCTAAGATTCCAACGAACTTGACTTATGTCAATATTAGCAATTTTTTCATATTCAAAACTATTTAGTTTATTTCTGTGGAAGTGTATTTCCGTGTAGTTAGTTATATTAGGATTGCTTAAGATATTAGGAGTCAATGTGACTATCTCATGTCCCCGCTTGTTCAAAGCAAGATTTATTGTTTGAAGTACTATCTGATGACTATATGATGGAACTGGAGTAATAATCAATAGCCTTTTACTGCAAACTAGATTACTCATAACCAGAATCCATAAAATTGTGATAATTGGCGAAATACTGATAATCAGTTTCATTCTATGAACAGAATAGGAAAGAGAATAATAGATGATTATACATATTTAACTTTTGTTCATTGTAACATGCCATATACGCATGTTAATAAAACGATAATTTATCTTGCAATCGGAAAATTGTGAGATAGATATGTGCATTGTGTGAAATGTAATTATTTTTATATTTCTAGACTTTCTAGAATTACATAAATCTTT